TTATATAATTGATAGTTTCCATCTCATTTTATGGTATTCTCGAATGCCGTACTACCTTTTTAGGCTGTTTTACTATTATCATTTTATTATTTATTACATGGTAATTATAACTTAGATAACTAAAACATGAAATTAAACCGTTGGTTTTTTTTTTTCTAAACAAAATTTTTTAATAGTTAGTTATTAAATTCTGTTAAAATTTAGTTAATTAATGACTTGAAATAAATCATATCAAACTAAGTATTAATTATATAAATAAAGGCATCATGGTAAAATCAATTCTTTCTCAACTTTGCATTGAAACTATAATTTTAAAATAGCACAGTCAATACATCCCTTGATCGCATTTTTTGTTAGTAGCATTTACAATTAAAACTACTTATAATAAGTGGTATTCCACCGACTCAAATACACTTATTGGTCGGGGCACCCAGTATTTTCGCCTAAGTGGACACGACTTGCTTTTACTTAACTAAAGGGAACAATATTCTTTGACAACACAAATGTAAATTTTATTATTCTTAAATACCACAATACATAAATTAATCTACCATTAGTACACAACTATAGTTAAATGGTTTATATGCAACCTGGTTACTTCAGTTCTTCGTAGACCAGCACCAGACACGTTTTTTGACACCATAAACTAGTGGATGGGTATCCAAATCCACCTTTGGTATTAAATTGACGATCACGGATCTCTGAGTTGTGGACTCTCAAGTTGAGGCACCCACCGTCCGTCATAGGATCGTCCCAGCATAGGTACCAAACACATACTCGCCGTACACCACGACGCGCAACAATTTCCATCGCGTTAACCGGTTGTATACAAGTGGCGCTACAAATGATCGGCGGCTAAACAATAAGAACCGAGTTCAGATGCTCTAATTAATATTTTATTATACATTTTGGTTCGATCACAATTTATATAATAAATAATTATACAATATTTAGATTTATCATGCGTAAATGAGTTATCTAAAAATTTAACCTTAAAAATTAACAAAATATACTGCACAACATTTCTACGCTAAACAAAATTGTAGTAGATTCTGAATGGAATTTTGTTACTGATTCTAATTTTGACTTTAAATTTATTACTAGATTGAGATTTAAACATTTTTTATACTCTTATTCAATCTTGCATCACTTTTAAATAGTTGTATTCATAAGTGTAGAATGGTGAATTTTTCACTGTGGTGGGAGGCCGAAATTTAATTCCCTTTTCCTGTAAATAATTATTTTTTTTTTGTGTCTGTCACTACTTTTTCTCAGCTTTCACTTAACCGATTTTTCTCAACACTATTTCAAATGGTCATAAATCGTATCTAGTTGAAGAGATTACCCTCAAAACTTGAACATTTTCCCCTCGTTCCCTGTAAATGCTGAAAATTCTCCCAAAAACTAACTATTTTTAAAATCAGTAAATTTTTTTCATTTTTTAGCTTCGATGCTAAACTGATGCTTACTATGATGTGTTTATTAATTAATTTATTTTTTTGTGTCTGTTACCACTTTTTCTTAGCTCTCACCGAACCGATTTCTTTCAACGATATGTCAAAAGATCACAAATCGTATCTAGTCGAAGACATTATCCTCAAAAATTGAAAAAATTTCCCTTGTTTTCCGTAAATGGAGGAAATCTCCAAAAAAATTACAAATTTAAAAATCACAAATTTCGAAATGTTTTCAATTTTTTTACTTAACACTGCCATAACTTTTTCAAAAATTAACACATCAATATAATTTTTTTTATAGATGCATGATGTCTTTACCTATCATTTGATATATTTTTTTTATAAATATGACCCTTTAACTGCCCACAGAGTGTATTTAAAATGACAACTTTTTCACAAAACATTAACTTTTTCAACTTAACTTTTGAAAGTGTTCCGGAAATACTGACACTTTTATATATACCTTAAATTAGAGCTTATGTAATATACTTTATTATGGAAAAAAAAAATTGGACTTTATTTTGTCTTCACGGTGAAAATGGCTACCAAATGCTTTTTTTGTGTGAAAATTCTCGTTTTTATTTTTTTTAATTTTTAACTTTATAATGCTATAACTTATTGAAAAGTGTATGGATCAACACAATTTTTTTATGAGAAATAATATTTATATATTGCTTTCATTCGATTTACTTTTTTTAAATTGAACCATTTCCCTTAATACAGGGGGGGTTCAAATCTTAAAAATGCATATAGAAAGTAGAACTTTTTCAATTTAACTTTTGTAAGTGTTTCGGAAATATTGACACTTTTATTTTATCTTAAATTAAACCTTTTGTAATATACTTAATTATGAAAACAAAATTTCAAAATATAGTGAAAATGGTTATCATATTCAAAAATATGCTGATTTTGTGTTAAAATTCTTGGTATTGTATTTTAGTATAACCTTATAAGGTTACCTTATAAGGGGAGTACACTGATTTTCATGAATATTATATAAATATAATTGACATAGAATATAAAGTTAAACTTATTTAAATTTTTTTTTTTTAGTCGAAAAAGTAATTTTAACATTTGAATCAGCTTAAATTGACAATTTTATCAAATGACAAATTTAACAAACATTTGTTGATTCAATAAAAATCGTTGCTTGTGGCATTGATATTTTTGTAATTTTTCCATATTTCGTTTTGAGTTAGAATTTTGCTTTTAAATAATCCATCAATTTCTTAAAATTAACACTATCTACAGATTTGCATCGAAGAGTTTCTTATGATGTTGATTATAATCACTATCAGATATCATCTATAATTGTCCCAACTATGTCACCCTCACACTGTGCCGCGACCCCACTATGTTACGGTTTTTATTATTTGTTTATTAACAAATTAAAAAAAATCTCGTATGACATTTCTTCAGTGTTAGTGAATGATTCGGGAAGCACAAAGGTCCACTAACAAAGAAATCTTGGTAGACCCTCCTCTTTAGGCCTTTTCCCTTCAAAAAAGGGAAGGTCTTATATACTTAGAAGTAATTTTTGCTCTTTTTATGAAATACTAATACTAATTTAACCTATCCGTCACAGATGACGTAAAGTATAAAAATATATTTAATATAATTATGTTTTGATTTGAGAATAAAGGATTTTAATTATCATATTGAATTATTAAAATTTTCTAGTATGATTTGAAATACGTTAGTACGTATGTGCTATAAATAAAATATTTTTTATGTTTTGGTCAGTAAACAACATTAGTGGTATTTGGTAACATACGCGCGAAATAAAAATTAGTGCAAATAAAAATAGCAAGTGGACACAAAGGTATATAACAATACGCAAACATTTAAATTTTGATTAATCTAAAATATTATTGTCCAACCTTTTTTCTAATTTTTTCTTTTCATTAAATATTTTTTATGTAACTATTTTGAAGTTGGGTTGCATTGATATTTAACACGTTAGTCAATTTATCATGAGTTTTAAATACACTTAAAATAGAAGGGCAAAATATTTATTTTCTATGCTAGATTTTTTTTAATCGTTAACCTTTTTGTTAAGTTTCCTTTAAGCATCACCTCTCCTTTTAGAATAACCTTCAATATCCCTATAAAAGTTTATGTCAGTATAATAATAATAATATTATAAGAACGGCCTGGTCAACCGGTACCGGACAGGGTATTTTTTAGTGAATATTTACAGGGTGTCCATTTTTTTATAACATAAAAATACCTTTTTTTATTGAAATTATTAATAATTATATTACAACCTCTTTATTATAACATGTATAATAAATGTTAACTTTACTTGATTTAACAGTATAAAGAAACTCAAAAAATATTATGTAATATAAATAATTCTAATTTTGTTATGTGTGTGAAGTATATTAAAAAGTTAACTAAGTTCAAAAGTTTAAAATTATAACATTTACTGGTTGTTATACAAATAGCACTTATAATAGTAGCAGCAACAGGTGCAGCTGTTGAATGATGAATTGGTGACAATTACGGATGAATACCACGGCTGTGGATGATAACCAAAATTAGCGCAATCAAATCGCGTATCTTTTTTATTATCATACTAGATTATGATAAAATCAGAATTAGAATTAATAACTAGGAATAAATCGACTGTAGTATGGGTGATAGCAATGTTATGATATCTTCAATGAATACCTCCATAGTATTTGGAAAGCAGCCGTATGCGACCACTGTCATAATCGTCTGGGAGAAGCGAATAATGCATTGTATACGTTTTTCTGGCGTGGATTCATGAACGGGAGGAGTTGGAGTGTCTAGTCTTAGGTCCTCTTCGGGGTGGGGTCTATAGTGGACCTTATGTTGAAGGTCCAGGAGAGGTGGTCTCTGAATCGGCAAGGAAAGAGTAGAACGCCTGAGACGTAGACAGCCCTTAGATCCAAAGCAGAAAGACTTGAGGCACTGGTTCAGTCCAGCACCTTAGCGCAATTTATTTGTGTGTAATATATGTTTTTATGAGTTATTTAACCATTCACGATGTCCTGCTTCACCTACACGTGGTGCAGCCCGAGAAATGAATTCCACTCTGGGGTCCGGTTAACGTGGTAGGCTATGTCATGTTGTGATTCGGCTCTTGATTAATTTTGGCCTAAAGCGCAACACAACGGTGTGAGTTTTAAGACGACTAGGGTCGCCATGAAGTAATGCCTTATGGTAGCGAACGGTTTCATTTGAAGAGAGAGACATCAGATAACAGTAATTAAAGACGGCATCCCTTTTCTGGTAACGAACTTACCACCGATATGACGTATCGAGTGGTAAGTTATAATTTCTAATGAATACTATACATATTTAATATAAATTGTCGATTGAAAATTTTTATTTGTACTCCCTTCCTCCTTTATAAATTCTAAATGCATCCCTAGTTATTATTTTGTGACAAAAAGGTGTATATTATCCAAACAAATAACACAAATACTTATTGTTTGTTTGATTAATTGCAGACCAGTTTTAATAATTTTCCTTTATTATGATGTAATGTATTAAACTAGTTACTTAATTTTTCAGATAACGCTATGGTTGATACTACGCACGTGTTTCTGTTACTAATTTTTTGTATTTATTTCAATATGGCTATAACAAAAAACGAACAACGAGGAAAACGTGAGTAAATCTTATAATATCATACAAAATTTAATATATTAGTATAGATTTATGAATATTTTAGATTTATTTATTGATATTTTAGAATTAGTAGATTAATAGTTAATTTCTATAACTTATCAGGCATTATAGTATTTATTGGTTCAATGGAATCTCACCAAATTTAACTAGAGTAACTTGAAACATACACAAAAACCCCATTGTAAATAAATTTTTGTAAATAGTGTTTAATTTTAAGAATTTGGTGAATTATTCCAAAAGCAAATCCTATTGGCTTAATTGTATTCTGTTTACAAGTTTTATAATTTATAAGTATAATATATGATTAAATGCTTAGTATAGTATAAAAATTTAGTTAAAATTTATATTCAATAATTTAATATTGTAATTTTTACGGAGAAATTGTAAAAATCTATTAAGCAGTTATATATTTCGTTACTTCTGTGGAAAATGCGTATAAAAATTAAAAAGCTTGATGCAAAACTTTTCAGAAAACGATTTTTTGTTAATTATAAATAAATGTACTGGTCTAAGATGAGTTTTTATCCAAGTCAAAAATATAGTTTTCTAAATCAATTTCTTGCGCTGATTTCAAATCTGCAATTAGATTTTTTCATCTATGATCTCTAATTTTTGAGATTATTAATAATTTGTAAAACACAAGCATAAACATCTAGTAAAAATAACCAAATAATATAGGATAAGATGAAATTTAACAACACATCAGCAGACGAAATCATAGGTGAAACTAGGCACAGAATATTTCTGAATATTATAGAATACTATAGGATATAATTTTTTACGGAATATAGTTCATATTATTTAAATTGTAGCATCTATTTAAACACCAAGAGTTACTTAGAAATGATTACTATGATTTTTTTGAGATGATTATTGAGATAATAATACAAAAAAATCGCGATTTTAACAAAATGTTGAGCTTTACTCATAAATTTACTGTTAATAGTAATTATATAAGTTTCTGACCAAATATTAATCTAAACAATGCAATTTTTTAAATGTTCATAAAATTTTCTATTTAATGATATCAATTTCAAACTTGCAAGTTGAGTTAAAAGCAAGTTAAAAGTTCAACATTTTTAAATAATAAACATTCATAGAAATTAACTTTAAAGGACAAAAATAGATTAAACATGAAATTTTAAACATAAAAAAAATTTAAATCAATTTTTATATGGAACTACTCGTTTTTACTAATTAGTAATAATCTAAAAAAACAAAATGATAGAAAAAATCTAATTGCAAATTTGAAATCAGCTCAAAAATTTGGTTCAGCGAAGTATATTTTGGTCTGTTATGATTAAAATTTGTTTCAATATTATTTTATTTTTCTGCGTAATTTAGTCATAAAAATGAATTCTATATTCCTGTTATTTGTGGAGATATTTAATTTTAAAAATACCTACGCTATATAAGTATTGTCAAGTAGTTTATACCAATTTCTTAAAAACACTTTTAAGTAAGTGTTTGTATAATAATTTATTACATTTCTAAGAATTTTACAATTTTTTCACAAAAGTCGTACTTTTTTCTTTAAATTTAATGTCCGTTTTCATGATGAAAACAAGTTCAAAGGTATACAAAGTATTTATGAATAAAAAGTGTAAAAGTCGCCATTTTAAGTCCTCCTCTATAATGGTTCAGGATTTTAAAAAAATATAATAAATGAGAGGTAAATATCTTATGTGTATATTTTAAATAAATTGTTTTTATTCATCTATATTATTTAAAAACTCATACAGTTTTAAGTAAAAAAGTTTAAAAAATGTCGATAATTACAAAATATGAAAAATTGTATTTTTTGGGGAGATTTTCACCATTTACACGGAATGGGGGAATTTTTTTTTTAATTTTTGAGGATAATGTCATCAACTAGATACGATTTATGATTTTTTGACATATTGTTCATCAAAATGGATTAAGTGATAGCTGAGAATAAGTGATAACTAATAAATAAAAAAAAAAATAATAAAAAACACACCATAGTATAATTAATACATTTTCAGCCTTGCATCATAGCTAAAATGAAGTTGAGACCCTTTTAGGTATATGGGATATAATACAAATTAATCAAGAAATAAATGAAACTACAAAATATTAAAAATAATATTCTTTACATAATTGTTATTTTAAAGAAAATCAAGTGGCTAATGTTAAATGAATCATCGTGTGTATTATAAATTTTTCTTCATCATTAAAACAAAATGTACATTGTTTTGCATTAGATGGTTTTAAAAATTATTTATAATATTTTTTTATAATTCATTTTTTTTAATTTTGTTAAACATATTTGTTTAAATTTATATATTACATAAAACGGCTATAAATGTCGGTGTTTTACTATACATTTTGAATTTTATACGTGTATTACATTGGTGTCCATGAATAAAACTTTTTTTTTAATTTTTACAAGAGCTTTTTAAAAGTGTGTCGGGGGTGTGGTAAAATTTTGGTGATAAATATTTTGTTTGGTTAAAAATTACAAGAGAATAAAAATTTGATAAATTTTGTTGTTTCAACCTTTTATTAACTTTTTCTATAAACATTCAGTGTACATTATATATTTAATGAGTCTATGGTATGAAATATAAGAGGATAAAAATCATAATGTTGTCAATCGCTATGACTTAATATGGCAATAAAAATGATTGATTCACACAATATAAATTTAACTGTAGTTTTTATTTGAATACTCATTTCTGTATAAGTCGCATAACACAGAATAATTTTATCAAATTATCTTGTTTGATTCATTGTTATTTGGGTTGTTGTTTTGGAGTTCTATTATAGAATATTACCTTCAATTAGATCGAAGTACTTTGATTTTAATTTTGCTTGTGTAATACTTGTTTCAACTTTCGTCAATGTGGTTTATTCATTGAAGTTATGTGCGTAATTCAATTATTCGTTTACTTTTTTAATTCAGTTATCGATGTATAAAATATATAGCGTTTTATTGAAATAATTCAATAAGAATGGTGTAATTAAGATTTTACGGGTCGGCAAATAATCTGATATTTGGAATTAAAACGTTTACTGCTGAAGATCAGCAATTAATTTGTTTGAGAATTCGTTACATATCATTAAATACCAAATGCGAATAAATAAAAAAAATGTGTTTAACAATTATTTTTCATTATTTAGTAAATCCTGATGTAATATTTTTCATTATCAAATAATAATGTTCCGAAAAGGTCTCGGTGAAATAAAATTAAGTATTGTCCAACAATATCCTAATTTTAAATTGATTCTGGGCAAGGCGTTGTGTAAGACTTTTTTAGAAATATTATACAAATCTACTGTTAATTTAAATACGAGTAATGTTACTGATCCATTTTATGAAAGTTCGCAAGCATACTTGATGTTGTGAATAACGTCTTCAGTATTTTAAATATATCGCTAGTTTCATTGAAAATGTACAAAATACTCGACGTTTTGAGGTATGTTTCATAAAAAATAACAAGTGACAAGTTACAAGTGATAATGGACAAGTATGCCTTATTGCTGTTCACAAAAAATTTTGTCGTTTAATAAATAACTTGTTTTTTTTTTGGCGTTTTAAAAGATAGATATTATTTATTACAATTGTGATATTGTGCAAAAAATCTATTCTATGGTCTCGACTGTAAGAACTGTTAACTTTTTAATACATATAAAATTTCAAATACTCTTAAGCAAAACTACGGTCCGAGGTGACCAGGCAATGGCCTGATCTAATATTTAGGAATCTTTCCGGATAATAAACGTAATAGTTAAAATAGCGGCGTTTCAAAGGAATAAAATCACAAAACTATTAAACTTAAACTATTGTAGTATGAGAATTCTATACAAGCTAAAATATAACAATATTAAAGAAAAAATAGCAAATAGCTGAAAATTAGCACTAAGGTGGCGACTAAATAAACTACTACACCACATCACACACAATATACTAAGATAACTAAGTAGAAGAAAAATATAGGAGAGCTATTTTAATATTCTTCTCCAACTGGTTTACTAAGTTTTTCTAGTTCCACTTAAACACGACATAAAAAGTCATTTAAAACTTCACCTAATTTTTTTTGGTCCGACTCAAATGTCTAGTTTTTCCTAAAAAATATCGTGTTTAACTTAAATTAACTTTTATTAATGAACATTAATTAAAAATATTCTTAAGGAGTTTGTTTCTACTAAATACCTAAACCCAAACAAATACCTTTGAAAAAACTTAGAAAAATTAACGAAGTTTATGAAATAATTATCGATATTTTTATCTAAAAGTTCTTTTTTATTGATCAAAATATTATTAAAAAAGTCATGCAGTTAATTTAAAATGACGATAATATAAAGATATGCCCAGGAAGAAAAGTTATTGTTAATGTTAAAGAATCAATTAGTAAAAACTTACGAATAAAAAAGCTAATACTTTGCATTTTAAAGATACATAATAATAATTTTAATCCTAATGACAAACTATTTTTCTATGTTTGCCAATTTACACCCTAAATAGCGCATTCTTCCTGAATTAATTGATACACATACAGTTTGAATGTGTGTATTATTTAAAATTTTAAGCTCATGAACGATGAATGTTAAATATTGATACTGTTTTATAAAAAAAAATTTTCTTGTAATATTAATAATAAAACTGCATTATTAATAGATTTAGTCAATGTTCAGATCCTAATGTATTAAAACTTCAATTTACTAATTCTAAAATTAAAGATTCTGAAAAAATAATTTTTTATCAGTGTATACTATTAATCGTGCAACATAAGTTAATGTGTCTGTATATTTTGATCATGTTTTATTAGTATAAAAATAAAATTCGATGTTTTCGATGAAAAACATTCGATGTTTCGTGACAAGATTTTTTTTCGCTATTTTATAGAATCTCTCGGTGGTAGCATGTAATTTTACATACATCGCATTGCCCAAGTCAAAATAAATAATTAAACATTTTTTTTGTAATAATGACCTTATCTATAAAATTTTCAAAA